TGCAATAAATAGGACTCTCCAAAATGAAGCACTATCGTATAGGAACGCAAGTGCAATAAACATCTGGTCAATAACTGCATATTCCCAGCGGTATGTTTTGTTCAATGGTCCATGATAGTAGCTCATTTAGTTACATATTTATAGATATCCTGCGAACAACAGATTATAGTGATGCCTTCTGTGTGAAAAATGAGCCTGGAAAGTCTCATAGAAAGCATCTAGAAATGTTCTTTGTGCCTAAGCAGTACCCTGAAAATGTAACTTTTTTGTCTTTAATTCTTCCTAAAAAATATGCACTTCCTGTCTCTAGACACTCCTGTTCTGTAGCTTCATAGCTGTATATCTGCAGTGTGAGATCTAAGGCACTGCTGCCTCAGCCTGCAAATCTCAGGAGATTTATCCCTCATTCACACCTATATTTTCGGTGCAATTGGGGGATTCCCGGGGCATGAACTTTTGATTTTCTGCGACAGGAATCCCTAATGTGCCGTTTACAGGCAGCAGCTGTCACCCGTTTGAGTTAATGATTGGGTGACCGTGGCAGAACGCTGGCGCACTGAATGTAATTGTATTGATTGTGCATCCAGGGATAGTGATCGCTTCCTAACCGCTTGTAATTGTATCACATAGGTGTGAATGGAGCCGAAGTGATGTCTCTGCTGTGCTGATTACAGCTCTCCTTGCTGGAGAGGAAGCTGTACCCGAGGACCTGCAGTGCAAGAATCTCCCTGCTTCTGTTTCATCCATTCTGTGGAACTTTGCTTTTTATCTATCTCTGCTGCTGCTTCTTGATCACTACTCCTTCAGTCATTGGGGGGGTACCAGAATAGACACCCCCTCACAGAGACCCAGTATGGAGTATGGTGAGTCAGTAATGGTGGAAAGATCAGCTGAAGGGAACCTACAGGTAATGTGCGGATTAGTCATTTGCCCTTCGATTCAGTAAAAAAAAAAATTATATTAAAATGTATCTAAAGTAGAACTCCAGACACACTGCTGAATACACATACGGGAGCTGACTGCTATGCTTCTTTATGGCAGAGTGGGCCAGGCCTGGGACAAGTCAATGTAACTACCCGCCCGCAGTTCAGTAATTCTTTTGTTTAGGATCCAGTAAAATAAAAACATGAAATCGATTCCATCAGACCAAATAATCCAATAACACAAACCGCGGGAGAGTCACTTATCTCCAATCACTGATCCCGGAAATTGTAATTAAAGAACAAGAAACACTTCACACAACTCCCATCAATACCGTGTCCTTTAAGTGCATCTTCAACGTGCACGCAGTTTACTTGCAAAACACTTTTCAATCAAGAACAAAAGAGAAGAAAAAAACACATTTTATTTTTGGTCTCTTACTTCACTTCGTGTTGATTTTTTCCGGAATATTTTAAACGGCGTCACCGAACAGATGGCGTAAAGCAAGACGATCGCGCGGTGGTGGAAAGGAACGCCGGTAAGAGGTAAAGAATATTAAAATCTACTCGCGAATGGAGGAGTCGCGCGCTCCAGCGGTTTTGAAACATTGTTAAGCAGCCATCAAATCGATGGCACGGGAAAGAACAGAACAGGTGTCGCCATAAGTTATCGCACCACTCATCGAATGGCCGCAGAAAGAGAAGTTCGTGGCGGCGTGTATCAAGCAACCAAGAGTGAATTCCCAAAACACGGCATATGTGCAGCTAAAAGATGACAGCTGCTCATAAAATCGTTAGGAAGGGAAAGAAATACGGCGCGTCTTCGCTAACCGCTGGATTTTAATTTTCCGTTACAACTCCAGAGACGAGGACGGAGATTGTCTTTAGGAACATTGTAATTATATAGGGAAATCATGCCGCGTGTTCAGAGACAACTATCCGTCAACACTGCCACCGTCATTCCTGAGTTCACCACACTTTAAAAAAACCAGCGTCGGGGTCATTCCGTCTGCAAAAAGGCAGAAATGTTACTTTGCTTTACTTTTATGAAGTGACACTAAACTCCGGCGTTAAATCTTAAAAATACAGTAATACCTCAGTTCACAAACGCTTCCGCGAGCTGCAAATCTGGTGACGAATACGACCGTGGCCATCTTTCCTGCTCTGGCACGTGGTCATGGCTTCCTCTAGTCGAGATCGCGGTCGCAGACAGACCTGTACACACTTGCTGTGAAGCTTTTTTGTGTGCTTTTTAGCATATACAGTACTATTCAATCCAGCATGGCTCCAAAGAAAGTGCAGAGCAAGCATGATAGTAAAAAGAAAGTGCAGAGCGGTAATGAAGGTGACAAGAAAAAAAATTACATATGGTTCAGAACGGATTAACCTTATTTACATTGAACCTTTTGGGGAAATTTTATTCGGTTTGCGACTAGAATCGTGGAACAAATTAAGTTTGTGAACCGAGGTACCACTGTACATTTAAGCACCTTAACTATTAACAACAATGTATCTTATTTGTGTATCACTTGGCTGTAGATTCTCCAATCGTCTCTGAATTGGTGCTGGCGCTGTCCTTCCTTCTGGAGGGGGGCTACGTCTGTTCCCTATGGTCCCTGTGTGTGTTGTAAAGTAGTCACTGCTCCAAGATCACTAAATGAATAAACTAAACATGAGATTGTAGTCCATCCCCGGAGTGAGCTTGAAGCAGTGACTACTCTACAACACACACACAGGGACCAGGAGGAACAAGAGTAGCCCCCCTCCAGAAGGAAGGACAGTGTCAGCACCAATTCAGAGATGATTGGAGGATCTGCAGCCGAGTGATACACAAATGAGATACATTGTTGTTCATAGTTCAGGTACTTTAATGTATTTTTAAGATTTAAATCCGGAGTTTAGTGTCACTTTAATGGTGGACCTTTTTAAAACAAAAAAAAATATTGAATGCAGACATATTTGTAAAAGAAAAAAAGGATACATTATATAATTTCATTGCATTAGAGTCAGCAAAAAGTAGCAAACATGATCAGTGGATGTCGGGTGCAATGCTCTGGCTCCTGCAGACTATTCCTCCATTCTACCCTTCTTTGTTCGTAGATTGGTATGGACATTCAGTAACGAGGACGGTGGGAAGAATTAATGGACTACAAGACTTCACCGAACTTGTGTTCCATTGAGAGCAGTGACAGTGACTGTGAATGGCGGGTGGTTATGTGACCAATGTTACCTCAACCTACACATCCATGGGGGTCTGGGTGCCTGTTCTTGGACACAGACAGTGTGTAGTCAAGTGCAAGCAGCTTTGTCACCCCTGGACAGGAAGTGTGTTAGAACTACAGAGCAGCCTAAAGAAGATGGAAGTGCCAATGATGGGGGAGCGCAGACATCCCATCACTTTGCAAGGTAAGTGCGCCATCATGTACAAATATGCCGAGCATTCTGGGGGACTTCAAAAGTTCAATTCAACAGTTTAATCCCGCTTTATTGTACATATAAAAGCAATCATAAACGACATAAACCTCCCCCACGTATACGTCTACATGCAGAGAGAACCCACTCTTGTGTGCGTTATTACAATTTCCCCTCTACCAACTCCGGTTTTGAAGCCTGAAAATAAGAAATTTACATGACAAGAGAGTGAAGTGGAGGAGATTTGGTCATCAAGCAATTAGGAAGATAACAGTGCGGAGCGGAGGCATGCGAGATCGGCTTTGTCCTGATCGTCACTCTGGTGGGTTTTATCTGATCAGTAACGTCTCTGTATCGTGCACTATCAGCAGCTACCAGGGATGAGCCAACAGAACCACGCTGCATTGTTCTGAAGAACGCCGGGGTGTAATTCCATCAGAAGACTCCGTCCCCGAACAACAAAGCATGGCGTCCTTTGAAGAACGCATGGCAGCTGCTTTGTTAAAGGGCAACACCAACTAAAATGATTTAAAAGCAATGAACACACACTTCCCGCACCCCTCATCTGCCACCACACGGCTTTTCCTTCATTCTCTTCAGATTCAGCAGTTCTGGTGTCACTGCCCCTCCTACTGTTCTACATACATACTCTGCTCTCCTGGAGGACTCTGCTCCTTCCTCTATAACTCTCCGCTCCTGAAATACTCTGCTCTGCTGGAGGACTTAGCTCCTTCCTCTATAACTCTCCTCTCCTGAAATACTCTGCTCTGCTGGAGGACTTAGCTCCTTCCTCTATAACTCTCCTCTCCTGAAATACTCTGCTCTGCTGGAGGACTTAGCTCCTTCCTCTATAACTCTCCTCTCCTGAAATACTCTGCTCTGCTGGAGGACTCTGCTCCTTCCTATATAACTCTCCTCTCCTGGAATACTCTGCTCTGCTGGAGGACTCTGCTCCTTCCTCTATATAACTCACCTCTCCTGGAGGACTCTGCTCTGCTGCAGGACTCTGCTCCTTCCTCTATAACTCTCCTCTCCTGATATACTCTGCTCTGCTGGAGGACTCTGCTCCTTCCTCTATATAACTCTCCTCTCCTGAAATACTCTGTCCCTTCCAATTGTCTCACCTGAAATACTCTCTGCTACTGGATGACTCTTATTCTTCTTTTAACTCTCCTCTCCTTAAAAACTCTACGCTGCTGTAGGACTCTTCTCTTTCCTCTACTTCTACTCTCCTGTAATACTCCCTCCTCTATAACTCTCCTCTCCTGTAATACTCTGCTCTGCTGGAGGACTCTGCTCCTTCCTCTATAACTCTCCTCTCCTGAAATACTCTGTGATGCTGGAGGACTCTGCTCCTTCCTCTATAACTCTCCTCTCCTGAAATACTCTGTGATGCTGGAGGACTCTCCTCTCCTGAAATACTCTGTGATGCTGGAGGACTCTGCTCCTTCCTCTATAACTCTCCTCTCCTGTAATACTCTGCTGGAGGACTCTGCTCCTTCCTCTATAACTCTCCTCTCCTGAAATACTCTGCTGGAGGACTCTGCTCCTTCCTGGAAGTAACTTTTAGTTCACAGTTGTACTATTCATCGATAATCCAGACCGCACTCACTGAGACACATTTTTGATCAGATACAAATGTTACAAATAATATTATGAAGGACTTACCCGCACACCCAGCTCTACATTTTCCCCTCCATACACCTCCATCCCTTCATCCAATAGACCGATCTCCTCAAAGTACAGTCTGTCCACGATGAAACAGCCAATCAGAGCCGGGCTCCTAAGAGGACGGGACAATACATTACACTGTATATCACAATCGGTAGATAGAGGAGCTCCACAAAGGGCACAATCACAGAACAATCAGAGAACCTACAACCCTTCTATAGAAACAAAATTATGAAACGTCTCACTCTTTGTTACCAGTAAAGTTCGGCAGTCTTGCGACACGCTACTAATTTAACCCTTTCCCTGATGGATCAGACAGACAGAGTGTGTAGGTGGGCACAGCCTGCTGCCATCTGACATTGTGAACCCAGGAGTGCTCAGAGCAGAGCACTTCAGGGTTCACAGCACTGAGCGAAGATCAGGCATCGACTCCCTCTTCCATCCTCCCCACTTGGCCATTCTGGCAGTGACTGTTCTGGTCCTGGACTTCCCCGGAGATGCAGGGGAGGCCGGGGACCACGGAGAGGGGAAAGCCAATTTTGTCATAGAACGTACGTCATAGAACGCACATAGAACTGATCACTTCTAAAATAAAGTCCACAACCTGCAGATTCATTTTATAACAAGCAGCCGTTTGAACCATTCCAACTAATTGGCAGTGAAAGGGTTAAAGCTGAACACCAGGCAGACACAAAGACGTAAATTAATTTAACTGAAACTAGGAAGGAAGGGGAAGCAGCACAGAGAGCCAATCACCCATTCAGCAGCGTAAGGAGCATGCTGATAGGAGGAGAAAAGAGAGATGATGGGGGGGGGAAGGGGCAAGACCTGTAAGTGTTACTGAACTCCAGCAGAGGAAAATTGGGTCTCCTGCCCTGCCTGACAGGGCTGTGCTCTGTGGCAGAGCTATTTATATCTCAAGACTGGATGAGCAAACATACAAGTCCTTTGGCAGCTCCCATATATGTATGTCATCCGTGTATTTAGCTGTTGACGTGGAGTTCAGCTCAGTGAATGTACACGTCTTCCTGTACTTGTGTCTTATAGTGCTCACATATGCAGTGGGACCACAATGATGACAGTACCCTACATTCCGATGGATGGTTACGTACCTGATTGGTGCGGTTGTATTTTCAACCTTCCACCAAGATTTTGGAGGATTCAGGTAGCGGCACCATAACTCCCAATCGAATCCCTGAGCAGACAGAGGGTACTCCTCAATTTCAAAGGTATCGTACTTGATGTTGTCAAAAGACGGAGAGATGATGATCGTCCGGTCCTCTTTGATCCGGTTCAGCACTGGCTCTGCCCTGAGAGGGAAGAAGTCATTGTGATTCTGCATCTGAAAACCACCATAGTGATGGGCGGCCATCTCTGGTGAAAGATGGAATCAGATCATATAAAATGTAACAGCTGTCACTTCCAGGTATTTATTTCCTCCCATAGAGATCACTGTAATCCCCCTGACAATGCCTTCTTCTGCTTCTCTCTCCAGGGCGGAGCCATCTTTGTTCATCACTCGGGGTCACCATCTACTCCCTGGACTGAGAAGCCAACCCAGAGATGACACAGTCCTGTAAATCTGGGTGCCTGTGCAGATTGTATTCACAAGTGTCTGATACAGATCAGCCCCGGCTGCAATCTCTCACCTTATGATTTGCTACAAAGTTGCGATTCTGCAGTCTGATCACAGGGGGGAGGGGAGAATGAGGAAATGCCTCCTACTGCCTGCAACAGTCTGATCACTGGGGAGGGGAGACTGAGGAAATGCTTCCTCCTGCCTGCAGCATTCTTATCAATGGAGGAGGAAAGACTGAGGAAATGCTTCCTCCTGCCTGCAGCAGACCGATGACATCATCTCAGCCTTGGCAATGTCACTGAGTACCACCTTTCAATCATAAAGTTTAGTTTTTTTTATGTGATACTGTACAATGCCGGGGTGGAGCACTGAGCAGGTAGGCTATGCTAGCGGATGGCACCTGAGTGCTTCACTATACACTGCAGCGAACCTTTGAAGAGCGACATCCGGCTTTTTCATTAGTGCGGAGCTCTAGGACCCTTCTGTTCTGTTCCCCGGGGAGCCGGCACTTCCTCCAATCTGTTATCGCGATCTGGCCGCGCCGAGGCGGCCGACACATTACAGAGGAGCTGAAGTGGCGTATCCGCTCATGAATTTTCATGTGTCATCCTGCCACATTTTGCATGTTTTGATGACGGCTTCAAAGTGCTACTGTCAGAGTTCTCACCCTGCAAATGGGTTTATAAAAGATTAAACGGGACGGAGATTAGTGGGAATATTTAAATGCAACACCCGGCCATGAAACCTGCCGGCGGAGGGAGAAATGAAAGCCAATATTCTCCCTCGCTGGCAAGTTATAGTGCAAGGCTGTGATAACATTATATAAATGAGGCATCTGGGTCGTGCGTTATAATCTGCGTCTGCTTTTCAAATATCAAAGGACGACTCTGCTGAGCAGGCTGACCACATACTGCTAAGCGCACTCAGGAGCTGCGGAGCAGCACATTATCGGCATGCAGTCAGACACCTGACAAGGTAGCGACGTTTAGACCCCAAGGGAGCCTCTCGGATCTCACTCTCAGATCTCGAGTCGTCCACGGATGAGGAAAAGTTAAATGTGAATAAATTAGATTCACCCATTATAAGGATTTAAAGGGGAACTCCAGGAATTAAAAGGAGAACTATGAGGTTCTCGGGAAAACATACCGGCGCTCGCTCACTTCTCGATCATCTCCCTGCAGAGAACGGTGACTGTCAGTAATAGCTCCCTGCATGGATTCCCCCCCTCCCCGCTCCGCTCCTCCAGCGCTGACTAGCGTAACGGACGGGGGAGGGGGCGGGTACAGCTGGATCTGCCTCTAGATAGGCAGAGCCAGCTGTCAGTCACGCAGCTGGGTGGATCTTGATAGTAATGTCGGGATCTGCTCCGGCTGCAGCGTCCTCCCGTGACCCAAAGCTCAGTATATGTCCTCCTGTGACCCTGGGGAGAACTATGGGGAAAGACACTTACCCCATAGTTTTCCTTTAACCTTTGCAGTGGGACTAACATGGCACTGTAAGGGTTAAGTGCTCACAGGGGCGTCCCAGGACCAGGTGTGACCCGGAGCGGTTACCGGGTGACACACCGCCGTGACATCATCACGCATGTGCGTCAATCTTATTGATACCTGCCGGCGGCCATCTTGGTGATGGACGCCGGCAGAGAGAGGAGGGGACAGTCACCCGGCGGGATAAGGTATGCCGTCGGGTCCCCTCCTCTCTTCAGAAATGTTTCAGAGGGGGGTGTCACCAAAATGACCGTCAGTCATTTTGGTGTCACCCCTCCAATGGTGTCACCCGGGTGCGGGCCGCACCCCCCTTATGACGCCACTCAGTGCTCATTTGGTCGAGCTGGGGCTGGATTAAAGAAGATATACTTACCTGAGCCTCGGTCTTTCTGGGCTGTTAGACCGGTCCCCGCAGCCTCTGGGCTCTGGTGGTCTCTGGAGGCCCAGATACAAATTTACTTCTCTTGCAGTACACACGGGGAATAGTGCCACTGGTGAAAGCTGTGTCACTTCAGGGAGGATGGATTTGTAGGCAGTTGGTGTCTGATGGGACCAGGCAAGCCACAGGCACCCAGATGTACATGGCTGCGTCATCTCTGACCAGGAAGTAGATGGTGTCCCCTGGATGATGCCTGAACAAAGATGGCTCTGTTCTTCTGGAGATAAAAGCGATTGTCAGGGGAAGAACTGTGACCAGATAATCCAGGAGGTCTGGAGAATTGTGAATACACAGGTGTAAAAGTTCCTAGTAGCTTTATAACTGGGGTATGCACACTCCAGCCCTCCAGATGTGGTATAACTATAAATCCCTAAATCCCATCATGCATCTGCCTCCGGGAGCCATGTCTGTGGTTGTCAGAGTCTTGGGACTTGTAGTTGCACCACTGCTGGAGGGTCGGAGTTTGCCTACCCCAACTTTATAACAATAACCTTTTTCTGTCATAGGCTTTGCAGACCTTTAGGCCTCATTCACACAGGGTAGAGTGTGGTCGGCTGTACAGATCTCTATCGGGCCGCTCCCGGGAAGGACGGGTGCTGCGTGTGATTGTATGCAGCAGCCTGTTCTTCCTTGTGGGAGGACGCGGCCGTACGCTCACCCGAGCTGCACATCCGTGCGGTTGTATCCTGTCTGCGTCCGAGCACGGACACCCGCACCCACATGGATGTGCAGCTCGGGTGAGCGTACGGCCGCGTCCTCCCATAGGGAAGAACAGGCTGCTGCGTACAATCGCACACAGCACCTGTCCTTCCCGGGAACGCAGCACGGAGCTGTACGGTCCCACTCTTCCCTGTGTGAATGAGGCCTTAAAATGAAGGAGTCTAAAATAAAATCGGTACAATACAGGGATTCCTGCCAAGAAGACATGGAATACTCGTCTCGCCAGCTGCCCATGCCTCCCCTCTGCTGTATTCAGGCAACTCTGCCGGCAAAACATACTGCAGAATCTGACACTTCCATGTGTGTCGGATTTCTGGCCCCCGTCATGTCCACTGGCCCTTAAGCAATACCTGTAGTAACGTCTGGTGGGAGGAGCCACAACATGTAGGAGGGACCAGTAAATCGACACTCCTGGAAGTGTCAGATTCTATAGGATCTTCAGCCGGTGGATTCACGTTATTACAGCAAAGACTGGTCACATGACCAGCAGGTGAGGTGACTGTTCAATGTCTTCTTTGTAGGAAGCCATTTGTAGAGATTTAATTGGAGGAAAAGGTCACTTAAAGAGCCCATAATGACATCATGAGGCGCTCACCAGCCAACGCTGAACTCAACGTGGGCATCGAACAGCGCCACCACCGGGGCCGTGGCCGCTCTCCACCCGCTGACCCTGGACCGTATCAGCCCTTCCTGCTTGTTGTGTCGGACCATCTTGATGAACCCGGGTTTGCGTTTGTTGACCTCGTCCACGTTGAGCGTCAGCTTCTCCTTCAGCTCTTCTGTAAGAGAGAATGGAAAAGATCCAGATGGCTTCTGTGTGAGCTAATTATCACTGCGCTGACATATATCACCGCCCACCCACGCGGCAACATATGCCGGGCGCCTGAGTCACATCTGCTGGTTTTATAACGGGGCTAAAAATATGAGATTTTAAGGCAAAACTGCTCATGAGAAATGTGTTCAGAAAGTGAGTTCGTGAAAACTACACTTCTTGGGGGGGCATTTTAGCATTCAAAATGAACCGGTCATGGAGGGGCAGAGATAACTGGGGGGACAGAGTCAACTG